GGGCAAATCCGCTGCTAAATATATATTTATTCAGATGCTGCAAAAGACCTCTTTAAAGTGCTGAAAAGCAAAGATACCACCTTGAGGGCTAAGGTGTGTCTGACCCAAGCCATGGTGTTTTCAACCGCCTCGTATGCATGCGAAAGCTAGACAATGAATAAGGAAGCCAAAGAAGAACTGACACCTTTGAATTGTGGTGTTGGCGAAGAATATTGAATACACTAAGGACTGCCAAAAGAACAGGTCTTGGAAGAAGTGCAACCAGAATGCTCCTCAGAAGCAAGGATGGTGAGACTACATCTTACATACTTTGGACATGTTGTCAGGAGAGATCAGTCCCTGGAGAAGGACACCATGCTTGGTAAGGTACAGGGTCAGTGAAAAAGGGGAAGACCCTCAACAAGATAGATTGACACAGTGGCTGCAACAATGGGCTCAAGCATAACGACAGTTGTGGGAATGGTGCAGGACAGGGCAGTGTTTCATTCTGTTGTTCACAGGGTCACTATGAGTTGGAACCAACTTGATGGCACCTAGCAACAACAAAAAACGACAGTGAATTTATAGCCCTACTAATAGAAATACAGCAGGTAAAATTTATGTTATATACTAAAACATTTTCAATATTTTATTAAAAGAATAGAGACAAATTGAAAAGGAAAATTGAGTCAATTACTTTAGGTAAATAAAGTCACACACTGACACCTTACCCCAAGAAAGACAGATCATGAGAAGGTGTGGGAAGCCCTGGTGGGCATGGCTGGGAAGTGGGGGGTATGGGAAAACAAGGAGGAGACTTGGGGTCAGACAAGGGTTTGTGGGAAGTGGATGGAAAAAGCAGCTGAGGGGGAGAAGATGAAGAAGGGGATGAGGGAAGAAAAAGGAGAGGGAGGAGGTGAGAGAAGGGACTGCTTTTCACTGGCAATTCAAATAAGAAACTGGTAAATTTCAGAAGGATTCCCAAGGAATATCCAAATATTTTGCCTTTGCATTAGCCAGAACAGATGCTGACATATTTAGGGAACTAAATATATTTATTCAGATGCTAAGTATATGTATCAGGCTAAATATGTATTCCAGGTTGGATTCTCAGTACTCAGTTCACCCCCAGATGTAGATCTTCAACAGCACAGGGAGCAGAAGAAAGGAGCAGCCCCCAGGCCACTTCTCTCTCCCATCAGGAATGCTGCTCCTCTGGTCATGGCTCTGGTCTCCCAGGCTCACTCTTCTTTTTGTGGGACACAACAGCCAGCAATTTAGAGCATCTATGTGTACATCCAAGAAAGTGAACACATTTCATTTTCTGTTCTCTGAGAGACCAATGTGTGTAAGGTGAACACATTTCATTTTCTGTTCTCTGAGAGACCAATGTGTGTTTGGCCCTTTGGCTCTCTTTTTGGGGTCTAAGTGAAAGAGGAAGGGACAGCACAGAATGGATGTTTTACCTCACCTGATGCTCCTATAAGGCCACACACCCTTAGAAAGCCACAAAGGAGCTTTGTTTCAATTTACTTGAGGAACTCGGCTGTGGGTGAAAATCCAAGGAACCCTCTTAATGTTTTATTTGGCCAGGGAAAAGCAGAAACCTGGCTCAGAGGTGGTCAAAGACAGGTGGCAAGGAAGGAAGTGATGTGAACTCTTGAGGCCTTCCCTCTGAAGAGATTACCTGGAGACAACTGGAAGAAAATGATGCTGTGAATTTTCCTAGGAAGAGACACCTTTCTCTGAACCGGCAGGCTGGCCAGAGCCAGGGGTGGACTATCCAGTAGACAAGGTAAGCATGGTGCTTATCTTGCTTACCAGATCATGTGTAGTGAACAATTTCACTTTTCACCACAGCAAAGGTTCTGCTTCTGGGTACGGCTGGCATTCTGTCTCTTTCCCAACCCCACAGCACCTTCCTATGGAATCAAACTCTTGTTTCAAATTTATAATTCCTGACATGGGTGGATGACCCAGTAAGCAAGGTAAACACGGGCTTCCTTGCGCTTACTTACTAATCTATAGTGAACAATTTTTGATGTGGTGAAACCCATGTGAAACTGAGCACTTAAAATGTAGTAAGTCTAAATGAAGATGTGCTGTAAGTGTAAAATACACACCCGATTTCAAACAATTAGTATTAAAAAATGTAAAATACCTAAAATATTACATTACTAATTTTTACACTGCGGGAAACGCTCAATGAGATGGATTGACACAATAGTTGCAACAATGGACTCAAACATACCAATGATCATGAAGATGGTGCAGGACTGGGCAACATTTTGTTTTATTGTAGGGTCACCATGAGTCAGAGCCAACTTGATGGTAACTAACAACAACAGCAACAATTTTTACATTGATTACATGTTGAAATAATAATATTTTGGAGATACTAGAATAAATAAAGTTAAAATTAATGTCACCTATTTCTTTGTACGTTTATGTGGCTACCAGAAAATTTAAAATTACGTATGTAATTTGCATTATATTTCTATTGGATTGTGGTCCTCTAAACACAAAGATACTCCAATTCTAGAGGATATAAGAACCCCTCCCAATCAATAAGACAAATATAAAGAACCTGATTGGCCAATGAACACATGGACGCTTACTCAACTCAATGGTTAGGAAAGAATGATAAACTCCAGGTGACTGGAGTCCTCTAGGGACATGGGACAAAGCCACAAAGCAGGAACAGTCCCTCCAAGAAGAGCAGACAGACCTCCAGAAGAGGTGGCAAGGGGTCCAGTTCCAGGAAGGACATGGTGGTCTGAGCCATTGACCACTGGGCAGTTGCTAACTGTCACCCTTGTGGGACCCGGGCCAAGAGCCACTGAAAATGGCCAAGCAGGTCATGAAGCCCTGAGCACTGATCACAGGGCCTGAGCTGAGTTTGTGGGTAGGGGCTCAAAGTCAGGGTCTCTGCTGCCCTCCCTGGCATGCAGGTGTTGGCTCACCAGTGAGTGTGGGCAATAGCAGGGCCGCAGCTCCTCCAGCTCCCACTGATCTCCGTCTGCTGGTTCTCCACATTTAGCGTGAGGAACTAACCCCAGCAGATACAGAGGTACATGTCCATATCCCCCTTGGAAGGACTGGAGGCCTCACCCTTGAGAGTGCAGTCAGCACACAGCCTCTAGCCACTAGCATCTGCCTGGAGCTGCCTCACCTGAGGTCCTACCCTGTAGCCTTGCAGACAGCACTCGGCCCCCATCCCACTCTCACATGCCTCACACGGGTCTCGGCAAGCACTAGGCACAAGCGCCTCTTCATTGGCTTTCTCAGGAGAAACGACAGTTCCCTGAGGAGTGCCAGCATGACGTGGCACCCTCCCGAGAGGCACGCCCTTCTCTTACAGACTTGACCCCCTTTCGTCTTTCTCTCCTCGAGGTACACAAACCACATGTGTAAGCGGTGACCAGAGGGGTTTGATATGAAGAAGTAAAATCTAAGAGTGATTTGCATAGGCCATGGGCTTTAGAAAAAGGAAAGAACCCTAAGGTGAGGCGTCAAGGGGCTGCAGTATGGAGTCCTGTCTGGCAAGCAGACACTCGGAGGACCTTTTGCGTACAGAGGCAGGATACTCCGCCAGCAAGTACAGAAAACCCAAGAAACACTGACGACATGGTTCCTGTACTCAGGTTATAAAAGTTACCCCCAAGAGCCCTGAGAGGATTGTCTGTGGAACCCACGGGTCCACAGGACCTTCTCTGCTCCCTGAGGTCTGGGGGAAATTGTCTGGAACTCCGGACCCCCTCCCGGACCCGCAGTTCCAGAGCCTGTGGTGTGTGAGCCACAGTGGGTGCCCTACACTCACCTTCAGCACATGATGGAATTGCTTCACCCCACCTTCCAAATCTGATGCAGTTTCTCTCACAGCCAACCATAAACCAAACCACATAGGAAAGAGAATTCTGGGAAAGGTACGTAGTTCCATCTTAGCTAAACTGACACAGTGCAAACAACCACAGACACCAAACCAGGTGATCAAGTTCCGCTGGTCTCTCTGAACTGGTTAAAAATGTAATGGCCTCCCTTCCTGCGGACTAAGAGGCAGTCTCCCTTCCTGCTTCAGGGAGGGAAATCCCAGAGTCAGCCATCTGCTTAACTTCTATCCCTGTTCTCCCTACTGAAGGCCCCTCCATGTGGGGGAATGAAGTGCAGGTGATAATAGTAGTAACTGTCACAACAAAGTCTATTATTTATTATACTAAAGCCCAGTGTGTTAGGTGCTTACATTCATTAATGGAAGCAGTTTAGGGACTCCATAACTACAGTGTTACCACCCAAAGAACGAAATAAAGATCACAAAAGAGAGTAAGTTAAAATCACATATTCCTGCAAATGGTTTATTCAAAGCTGACGTGTTAACCAAAGAACAAACCATAACAAACAGGAATATATTGATGAATTCAATACATGAAAGAGTTTAAAAAAAGCTTAATTTTTATATACTATTTTGAATCTATTAAGCAAAAGGAAGAAGATGCAGAACAGTGTTGGTTTGCTACTATTTATGCTAAAAGAGGGGAAAGAATATATGTATTTATATTTTATGTATATTCTATACAGATGTATATGCTTATATACTCCTGTACTCTCTCTGGAAAGACACAGATGACACTGGTATCACTGGTGGCCTCTGAGGAGGGGAATTAGTTGGCTATGGGACAAGGATGAGAGGGAGATTTTTCACTGTATAATAGTTTACACCTTTTAGCTTTGAATGATATACAATTATTAACTACTGAAAAAGAAACTAAAACTTAAAAAGAACATTCTGAAAAAAACAACAAACCATTAACAAGCATATATTGAGCTCATCACAATCCAAGTTATGCTGAGAAATGTCCATGTGGTTTTGGCAGCTTATATTATCGTATCATTAAAAAAAAAATCACATTAGTTTCTCTCAACTTCGGTTCTCAAACCACAAATACATGTTTCAGAAAGAAAGGAACCAAGGAAAGCCAGAGGTGGATGGTTTCTCAGAAGAAGACCTGTGGTGGTCTTCGGGTCTAACAGTCATCCAGGCTGAGGCTTCTGGGTCTGGCGAGTTGGTCCAGGGGCCCTTGGCCAAGCTTAGCAGCAAAGAGAGTGGTGATGAGGTCATTCCCCATTTCCAGAGCCAGGTCGTATGCTGTCTGGCCTTTCATGTTCTTCTTTTGGATGCTTGCATTGCATCTGTGAAGGAAACAGACACGAGCTGAAGGACTTGGGTACTTGGACCTGAGGGCCTGACTCTTCCCTGCAACAGAGGCCAGTCTGGACACTTCCCAGGCCCACCTCCCAAACTTGTCCCCAGGAGGCCACCATGACTTCAGCTTTCAGGTGTGTTTCTACACTGAGACCTTTTGGGGGCTCTGTGATTTCAAAATGATCAATTACCAGCCCTGGTATTGGTTCCCTGCATCAAAGTCTACAAATGAGCGTGTTTAATGAGGGCAACATTGTCATTGTGCTTTTAATAGCCTTCAGTGTCCCATGAGCTATGGTGGAATGATAGCCTGTGTCACAGGGACCAAACAGTAGGGCTCACTGTGGTCCTCAAATGTGTCCCCAAAAGGCCAGGGAACATACCCCAGTAAAGCAGCAATGCATTTCCTTCCTTCCAGGCCAAGCAGAGTTGCTTCATGAAGAGCTGTATTTCTGAGCCTGTTTGGAGGAAAGAAAAACCTTTCTTGGCTAAATCCTTGGTAGCATCATTGGGAAACTGGATAGGGAGCATGGGATTAAAGAGGCCTTCGTTTCACCCACTGACCTACTGAACTAACCTGGAAAAATCTCTTCAGTCTTCCCTCTCTGCCCCTTTTCTTGGAGACATACAGTGATAGTGGGTAAGCTTTGAGACTAGATGGAAAGTAAAAAATCTATAAGCACATTAATTTTTTAATGTGAAAAACTCTACAAGGATCTGGTTTGTAGTTGATTTATTGAATGCTATAAATACTAGTTTAGTAAATTTCCTAAAAGAGTGTATATAACATATTGGGCCCAGTCTCTACTTTGGCTTGGACCACTCTTGGGCATTGTCTATATGATAATAACATTTTGGGGAAGAAGCTCCTATTCTTGTGTAGGGAAAATGACCTTGGTTTCAGTGGCTTTGGCTTGTATGATGTGAAAATGAACTTAAATCTTAGAACCCAGAAGGCAAGCCTGAAAGGTCAGACAGAGTATATTGCTGCATGCCAGGTCATCTCTCTACCTTTCATGATCAGGTTGATCCTAAGAGGTAAGGAGTGGATGGCTGAAATGGAGGGCGGGGTGGTACCTGCATTCTAGAACTCCTGGAAGTCACCTAATCCCAAGGTGGCAGGAGTGATGGAGGGTGGGAGTCACAACTGGACATAGAAATAAGATGAGCAAGAGAAGGACTACACTCTCCAAGCTCCTGCTCCTTCCATCGACACTACTATCACTCTTACCCTCCATACCTGCAGCTATACTTGCAGCCATAAATTTACCCCAAGGAAGAAAAAGTATGGTGGTCTCTTCTCTGAAGAAGATAAACAGACCCTCTTGTGAGAATGAGGCCAGCAATTGCCATGCCCAGTGGGAAGCCTTCCACTTTTTGGCATCCAGAATACCAGCCTGGGAGAGCTCCATCTACCCACAAAGCCCCCCAATTGGCAAGCTCCACACAGGCACACAGAGTTCTCACTCCTCTAGCCCATTCCCTATTTTCAAATATGGATGGATGGACAACAAAGGATTACAGACATTTGAGAAAAACCTACACCATCAAACAGAAAAATGAAGATACACAAAGATAAATTTAAAACAAAAACCTCATTAGTATACTTAGAATGATTTAAGACAATATTGCACAAATACATGAGATCATGAATAAGAAACAATTAGAATAAAAAGCAGCTCTTTAAAAGTAAAAATATGATTGTTGAAATAAAAATTACTTAATAGATGGCACGGACAAAACAGTAGAGAAAATGTCTTAAAACAGAGAGAAGTGGAACACTTATACACTGTTGGTGGGAATGTAAAATGGTACAACCACTTTGGAAATCCATTTGGCGCTTCCTTAAAAAGCTAGAAATAGAAGTACCATACGATCCAGCAATCCCACTCCTTGGAATATATCCTAGAGAAATAAGAGCTGTCACACAAATAGATATATGCACACCCATATTCATTGCAGCACTGCTCACAATAGCAAAAAGATGGAAACAACCTAGGTGCCCATTAATGGACAAATGGATAGAAAAATTATATTCATACAATGGAATACTACAGAACGATAAAGAACAATGATGAATTCATGAAACATCTTATAACATGGAGGAAGCTGGAACACATTATGCTGAGTGAATTTAGTCAGTAACAAAAGGACAAACATTGTATAAGACCAGTATTATAAGAACTCAAGAAAAGGTTTAAACACAGAAGAAAACATTCTTTGATGGTTACAAGGGTGGGGAGTGAGTGAGAGGGTTATTCACTAACTAGACAGTAGACAAGAATTATCTTAGGTGAAAGGAAGGACAACACACACTACAGGGGAAGTCAGCACAACTGGACTAAACCAAAGCTAAGAAGTTTCCTGAATACAACCAAACACTTCGAGGGACAGAGAAGCAGGGGTGGAGGTCTGGGAACCATGGTTTCAGGGGACATCTAGGTCAACTGACGTAACAAAGTTTATTAAGAAAATGTTCTACATCCTACTTTGGTGAGTGGCGTCTGGGGTCTTAAAAGCTAGTAAGTGGCCATCTAAGATGCATTAATTGGTCCCAACCCACCTGGAGTAAAGGAGAATGAAGAACACCAAAATCACAAGGAAAGTATTAGCACAAGAGACAGAAAGGGCCACATAAACCAGAGACTGCATCAGCCTGAGACCAGAAGAACTAGATGGTGCCTGGCCACCACCAATGACCACCCTGACAAGGAACATGACAGAGAGTTCTTGATGGAGCAGGAGAAAAGTGGGGTGCAGAAGTCAAATTCCAGTAAAAAGACCAGACTTAATGGTCTGACTGAGACTGGAGGAACCCAAGAAAGCATGGCCCCTGGACTCTCTGTCAACCCAGCACTAAAACCATTCCTGAGGCCAACTCTTCAGACAAACATTAGACTGGACTATGGGACATAAAATGATACTCATGAAGAGTGTGCTTCTTAGCTCAAGTAGATACATGAGACTAAATGGGCAGCTCCTCTCCGGAGGTGAGATGAGAAGGCAGAGAGGGTCAGGAGCTGGTTGAATGGACATGGGAAATCAGAGGTGGAAAGGAGGAATGTGCTGTCACACTATAGAGAGAGCAATTAGGGTCACATAACAACTTATGTATAAATTTTTGTATGAGAGACTAACTTGAATTGTAAACTCTCACTTAAAGTACATTAAAAAAAAAACAAAACAAAACAGAAGGGCAGAACCAACATGGAACTATAGACAGAAGCACCATGTCGTCCCTCCACAGCAAAGACCCAAAAAACTAAAACAGAAACAAACATCAATCCTGGGACCCTAAGCATCAAATGAAGAGATAAAGAACTCAACCAAGCACCAAATGGAATAAGAAACTCACAGAGAACAGAGAGCAATGAGAATTACGAGCGGAGGTCCCCTATCAGCTAATGCAGCATGGATCCCCCATCTTGGACTCCTGTCGGAGGTCAGCAGACAGGGAGTACAAGAAAGCAGATTCACGGAGCTCCCAGAAGGAGAAAGAGCACTCAGTAACCAGCGAGACACGCTTTCCCACCCCCCACTCTGCGTCTCCCTGCTTGATCTTCGCCACTTCCCAGTTGGCAGATCTGTAGCTTCCCAGTGGGTTGATTCCCAGCTTCCCAGAAGGCCGATTCCCAGCTTCCTGGAGGGCTGATTTGCTGCTTGTTGGCAGGACAATTCCTGGCTTCCTGAAGGGCCAATTCGCTGCTTCCCGGTGGGCCGATCCACTGCCTCCCAGCAGGCCATGACCGCAGCATGGGAGGCACCAGATCTGTGCTGCGCAGATTCGCTCCCCCCCACCAACTGGCTTCTTCACTGCCATTTCTTTGTTGCTTGTATTGCTTTTTTCAGCCTCTTTTGGTTTCATCCCTGCCTCTCACCTCCTCCCCCTCCTTTCTCTTGAACATCTTTCTCCATGTGCCATCTTTGCTTCTTCTTGACAGGCTGTAAAGCGCTGCTCAGCTGGGGAAGTGCTTCCCCGGTCCACTTCCCTGGTCCGCGTGGCCACACTGGTGGGATCCCCTGGGGGCTTTTTTTTTCCTTTTTCTTTTTGTTTGTTTGTTTTCTCTTTCTTTTTTCCTTTTTATTTTTCTTCATTTCTTGGTTTCTTGTCTCTTTTTGCTTACCTTCTTTTCCTGTCTCCTGAATACCTGGCACTGTGTATAATCTCCACACCTTCTAGCCAGGCTATACTGTGCAGCTTGGAAGCCACTTCCCCAGTCTGTGCAGTCGTGCCAGTGGGATCCTTGAGCGAATTTTTTTCCTTTAATTTTTATTTTTTTCTTCCTTTTTTTCTCCATTTCTTTGTCTCTCCACTCCAAAGGCAAGCTCCCTCAGCACTTTTTCTTCCTCCTGTCTCTCTCTCCTCTTTCTTCTTTTCCATACCCAACATAGCTCCACACATCACAACCTTTCCCTCCTCCTCCCTCCTGCCTATCTGCATCATGTGCTGAACATTGCACTCCCGAGCAGCACAGGCATGACCTACTGGAACCTGTCCTGCACCGACTACTGGCTCATCTTCTTGGCCCAAATACATGCAGAAAAAGCCCATCCCAGCCTCTCCTATTCAGCTGGACCTGCCCTGCTGCACCATAGCTGAGCGACTGGCCCTGCCCATTGGGCAAGGAGGTGAAGAGTATTGTGTCTACAGATGAGCACACAACAAAGAACTCACAGCCTGCCAGCTCAGACATAACCAAATAAAACAAAAAAGCAGGACAAAACAAACAATTCTACAATCAATAAGTGAATAAACTAACTACTGAATGCCCAGAAGATAGCAGACAATAACAAAACATATTAAAAAAAAAAAGACATGATGGTTCCAGTAGGCATCCAAAATAAAACACCAGATGACTTTCCAGTAGAAGAAAAGGCACTAAAACTACCTCATAGGGAATTCAAATATCTAATATTCAGAGCTATCCAAGAGTTGAAGCCAAAAAAAGACAAAAATGAGGAAAAAATAGACAAATTCATGGAAAAGGCGGACAAATTCGTGGAAAATACAGGCAAAAAAATGAAGAATTCAGGAAAATAATACAGGAACAAAATGCCGAAATAAATTCACAACTAGAAATCATACAAAAACAACAATTAGAAATCCAAAATATAAACACGATTTCAGAAACTGACAGTGTCACAGAAGGGCTGAGGAGCAGGTTTGAAATGATGGAAGACAGGATTAGCAAAAATGAAGACAAACACTTGGGTACAACTTTGGTTAACGAAAAATCAGAAAAAAGAACAAAGAAAAATGAAGAAACCTTGAGAATTATGTGGGATACAATCAAAAGCAAAAATTTGTGAGTGATCAGAGTTCCAGAACAGGGGGAGAAAACGGAAAACACAGAGAGGCTCACTGAAGAACTGCTGACAGTAAACTTCCCTCATACGATGAAAGATGAAAAGCTGACCATCCAAGAAGCTCAATGAAGCCCATACAGGATAGACTCCA